TCCACACAATGATGGAAACGGTTGTAGATCATTTGTGACAGATAGATGCTCATTCTTGCTATTCATTATAGGTATGCACGCAACCAAGACGCTTCTAACGCTTATCGAGAGGAAATATTTTCCTTCGCTAAAATTGTGCGTCTTATATCAATATCGGCGCCGTTATGGTCTTCCTTCCTATGCTTTCCCAAAGGACTCACAAGACTCTGTCTTCTTTTACTAGCCAAGTGCTCATTTACACGTACATGAAGTGGTTGACCGGTCTCACCAGTGTAGGTGGCACGGCAATGCACTCCGTTTATAATCTAATCCGTACTTGGAGCAGTCTCCCAATCTTCCGTTCGGACACACAATTCAGCGTAATGCAAGCTCCATGTAACCTTAGGAACTAGCTGTCCCTTGATATTATTCTGAGGAATTTTACAAGAAAACATCGTTTACTCCCTTGCATTAAGCCTTGCTTGAATGCGGCGGTCAATTTGTCGAAGATGAACGGAAGATTGGGAGATACAGTCTAATTTGACCTAGGAACAAAGGCGGCGTTTCAAAAGTTGCTTGATTTGACTTCAAAAGGTACCCTTCGCCTTAAAATTAGAAATAAAAAGGGGGCGAGTTGGTTGTTATGCCGCAAATAATAGATCGCCTTACGGAGAGATCATTTATCCGATGATACAGTTTATCGTCCGACATCGGGAAAAAAATTCTTTTCATACTGCAAGCGATTAAACCACGTCTGGAGGATGATGATTGGCAAGGAAGCTGTTCTAGACAAAAAATGTCTCACTAGGCTCGTAAGTTATAATCCAATTTGCCCTGTTTTCCATAGTCTAGTGAAAACACAAGCTTTCTCCATCAGATATGAAGACGTTGTCCTCAACATCTTGCACGATTCGACCGATAACCAGCTGTGTTGGTGGCCCACCGATAGGATATCTTGGTTTTTGAATAAGATTATCAGTCAACTTTTGAATAAAGTTTCTTCCCATCTGCCCAACATAACCAATTCCTTGATTTATGCAACACAATGATCAAAGTTGTGTTACTGAGTCATTTAATGTGTCCTCGTTGTACATCATGTCTAAGAATGAAGCTTTCCAAGCGCTTTCTGAGTCGGGACACATGTTAGTAGAATGGAACTGCATGGACTCAGTAAAGCGCACTTGTGTCTTCTCAAGGAATATCTTGATTGCAATATTTTCAAATGGTCCGGAATGTACTTCACTTAATAAGAGGACTGGAAATGGGGCAAAGACCGCAGCGCCATCTTTTTGTATAAGGTCGAGCCAGTGCTAAAGCGATGCCCCCAATTACCGCTACATCGATGATTGTTG